TCATTGATACACAGTGTTGCTATTATTGACTGGCATTCTTTCTGGATGTTCTTTATGGGATGGCAGAGGGACTTCCAGACACTTCAATTGTAGAGAGTATTCTGAGCCTTGTTTTGTCTCAATATCTCTTGTTTTTCCAGCCCCTAATGTGTGGAATTATGTCTGTCATCTCTGCCAGTGACACTCAGGGGTCTCTTGTGGTGTTCAGCTTCTTCTGGTAGCTTGTTGAATCCTTGTCTCTGGAAGGTTCCGGTTGATCTTTGTAGCCTTCTGTTGTTCCAGGTTCCCTCTATGCTTGGATGCGGCCCTAGAGGGTGGGGTGCATTACAAGTGTTGCAGCTGCCGAGCAGAAAGAGCAGGAAGCCTCGGTAGAGCCTTGGTGTTCCCTGGATCGATCTTGCAGTGTTCCGCTTATCCTGTCTGTGGCACTTCTGAGTAGGAGTTCCATTACCGGAACTCCCCAATCACTGATTCCCCCTCAGTGATCTTCCTTCTAGTGAGTCCAGGTTGTTCTCATTTGGGATGAAACTCGTAGCATATAAGTCTATAGTCTGTTTTTATATATTTCCATGTGAGCTTGGACATAGCCGTCTCAGCATCTTTACTCTGCCATCCACCATCTTGCCCATTCCCAAGCTCATCAAGCTGGTCCATCAGTAGCTTTTCTCGGCACCCTGGTGTTCCGGATTGGATCTGCAGTCTTTCCTCAGCCTGGGCTCCATTCACCGAGCTGAGCCAGATATCTCCCTTCACCTCCAGGGTTTTATTGAGGGGCAAAGCGGCTCCTACAGCCTGCCAAACTTCCAGGTGCCTGAACATTCCCCGGATGGGGGAGGGGAGTTCTCTTATCCAAACTCCTCAATCTCCGATTCTCCCTCTGTTATCTTCCTCTTAGTGAGTCCAGGTTGTTCTCATTTGGGTTGAAACTCATAGTATGTAAGTCTATAGTCCGTTTTCAGTCCTAAATTCCTGGGCAAGCCTGGACATGGTGATCTCAGTGTCTTTATTCTGCCGCCATCTTCTAATATCTCGAGACCTTGATTTTTTACCCTGTAAGATTTATTTCAGACATCTGGCCCCTATGCAATATTTATGTTGATTTGACCTGATTCTTTTGTGGTAATTTGTTACAGCAGAAATAGGAACCTTATATAACATTTATTGTCATCCAAGAGTCTGATGGTAATAGTTTTGCCAAGATGCCTTTTGAGTTTAGGTCTTTTCTCTTAAGTTCAGTAATTTCATTGCAGTATATCTTGCTATTGGTAATTCAGTTTCAGTATTCCTAGGCATGCATTATGCTTTTTTAATGTGTTCTAAGTCTTTAATATCTTCAGTTTTTTATTGAGATATGATTGGCATTTAACCTGATATTATTTCAGGTGTGTATAACACAATTTTATGTGATCACAAAATCAAGTTAACATTCATTGCTTACAAAAATTTTGGGGTGTGATCAGAACATTTAAAATCTGTTCATCTAGGGCCCTCCCTGGTGACACAGTGGGTTAGGATGTAGCACTGCAGGTTGGCCACAGCTGCCTCAGTGCGAGTTTGATCCCCAGCCCTGGAGGTGACCCATATGGCGTGGAAAACCTCTCCTGGCCCTTCCACTGCTCCCCTCAGTAGTGTACTTCATCCATCTCTCTGTTCTGCTCCACACTCTGTCTCTGGTAAAGCCTCTCACCGCTCCTGCACCTCTGGCTTATACCCCATTTCTGCATACATAAATAAATAATATTTTTTAAAAATCTATTCATCTAAAATCATCTCAACTTTCAAATGTACAACACAGTGTGTGGTTACCATATTATACACTATACCCCCATAACTTATTTATCTTATAACCAGAAACTTGTACCTTTTGACTACCTTCCCCCTTTGGCCCACCTTTTATCCTTTGCTTCTGGCAACCACCACTCTGTTCTCTCTGTTTATCAATTTGAAGTATTTTGTCTTAGATGGCACCTACAAGTGAGTTCACACATTTATATTTTTCAGATTTATTTCACTTAACATAATGCCCTCAAGGATATTCATTGATGCAAATGGCAAGTTTTCTCTATTTTAATGGGTGAATAAAATTACATATCCATTCATCCATCAATGGAAACAGGTTGCTTTCATGTCTTGGCTATTGAAAAAATGCTGCAATATAGAATTTTTTAATAATGGATTGTGGCTTTGTGTGTGTGTGTGTGTGTGTGTGTGTTTTCTGTATTAAGTTTCTTCTTTAAAGACTCCCATTACATAGATAATGGAACTTCTTTGACTATTCTCAATATTATTACCTTCCATCAAACACCAAAACCCATAAAAATCACCAAGATTGGGACACTGATGTTTCCTGAAGTAACTAGACCTCCCTTTGGCACAGAGTTGCACACATGGTTAGCCCAGGCTTTGAGAAGCTGGAGAAGGAAATCTGGGTGGCATTAGATGAGCTGTGGCTTTGGGTCTGCCACCATCATGAGCCCCCATATCAACAGTGACAGCAATAAGTTAACACAATACCTGCCCCTGCACTGCAACCTTTTGGTTGCTCCAGTGTTTCTACCTTCTCACACAAACTTCTCCTTGGACCTATAAAGGAAAAGACTTCTAGGAATGATACCACTAGTTTAGCTAACTTGTACTCATACAAACTCATTTAAGTTCCCTCCTGGTCAACTTGGTAACCACACTTAAAATGTCCCTGTGAGACACTTGTGTTAATTTATTTCTTGATTTTTGGATGTTGGTCGTTCTTCCAACTGGTCACACTCCCTCTTCACTATGCTGTGACTTAAAATATAAGATGTAAAATCAGCTACTATTAGCACATTAGATGACAGAGGAGTGGAGGATGGAGGGGAAACATTGATAAATATGTGCATAAATATAGTCACATAAAAACAGGGAAGAACTACTCACACTTTTATAAATATAATATAAAATAAAAGCATTTCTTCAGCTTTGGCAGGACTCCAAAGAAACCTAAATACTTAGAGTATGTGTTTCAGCTCCAAAAACACTCTGTTCCCTTCCACAGACAGGCCATAGGACAATGAACAAAGTCTTCCAATTTCATTAAGAAAAATGACGACCAAGATCCCTCTCCACCTCTTTCTCCTCTCCCTCCTCCTCCTCTTTTTCATTGCCTTCCTCCTCCTCCTCTTTGTCCTCCTCCTCCTGTTCCTTTTGAAGTAACAGTGATTTGCAACACTCTATCTGATTTAGGAGTATATACCTATTCAGATGAATGTTGCCACCCTATGCCCACCACCAAGGTATTGACACCCATGATCATCCACCTAAACGGACCTTCTTTCTGTTTGCTCCCAAATCCCCACCTGCCCCTTCCTGGATAACCTTAATTCTGCAGTCAGATTTCTAGGGTTTGCTTGAGTTAATATTTGTCTCTTCCTTTCTTTAGCTTCTCTATATTACACATGTAAGTGAAATCATCCTGTATTTGTCTTTTTCCTTCTGATTTATTGTACTTTAGCATAATCAGTTCCATCCATATTGTCACAAATGGCAAGATTTCATTTCTCTTTATAGCTGACTAGTATTCCTTTTTGTATATATACCACATCTTTATCCATTCACCTATGGGACCTCTTCTTAAAACTACAGATGTAATTACTTGAAGATATTATCCTAAGGTTAAAAATAAGACAAAAAAATCCTGAGGGGAAGAAAAGAACAGTATATAAAAGAATTGTACTTGAGCAGTCTCTTGAGCCATGAAGAGGAGCACCTAGGACTTATAGTAAATGTCTTTTTAAAGTCAAAGATAGGGTTTGGCATCATCCATCCTCTGGAAAGACTTTTAATGGCTCAGACTGGAAGCAGACAGTATGCTTTCCCCATGCTCCCCTTATCAGAGAATTAGCTGATCATAACATGGAAAGAAAGAGAAGGATAAATAAAAACTCCAACACTTTTACTAGTAGCAAATTCTGAGGTCTTTTATTTGTTTCCATGTAAATATGAATATTATTATTAACTATATTATTAGTATCAATATTAAGACTCTCTGGGAGCTAGGAAATAACTAAATACAAAATGATTGCTTTAAATTGGGGACCTGCCCAGTAGACTTGAGAACAAATTATGATTTGAACCAAGATTGAAATCCCTTAAGTCATTCCCTAAATAGAAAGTCACTAAGTAAAATGATAGCTGCTTTTCAAGGAGTCACCAAGTAGGCAGAGGGGAGATGTTAGTTTGTCCATAGAAAAACATATTAATATATAGCCATATATCCATATAATAAAAAGAGAAGTTTACACATTTTGACTCAGAGCAACCATACACATATGCTTAGTATGTACATTCACAGTTATCACTATGTAAGTAGGATTCTAAAATGATCATTGAACAAAGGAGGAAAGTAAAATCCAAAAATGAGTAAGTCCTTGTTCAAGGGTCTTGGCTAGTTAGTGACTGGACCAAAATTAGCCCAATCTCCTGACTTCTCATTCAGTTCTTTTTCCACAGAACTCTGCTGTGCGTAGAGAAGGTTGATTATCTCTTTGAAAAGATGAAGGAGACAAGCATATTTGAATGGGTGGAGAGTGAAGGAATGAGGTTGGTGTATGGCAGAAATATTCCAGTATGGCTAAGAAAGGGCTGACTGAAAATAGGAGCAGGTACACCCAAGGAAGGTGTCACCCACAGGAGGGGCCACGACCCCAAAACAAACCTGAAGAATAATTACACTTCGGTATGAAAGAGCATGCCCAGGAGGAATAAAATTAGAAATGGCAAACTAAAAAAAACTAAACATAATTTCTTAAATATTATCTATAATTATAAACATTTATAAAATAGATATAAGTCATCCAGTACTTGGAACTTTGATGAACATAATCAGTAACAAAAAGCACACACGCACGCACACACACACACACACACATATTTAAATCCTCTAAGTAATCAAGACAAATATGTTAGAATATCTTTCTCAGAGCAATTCATGTAAAGCATTTCTCCCAAAGCCTGTTCCACAGTAGATACTCCATGAATGTTTAACTGAAAGTGTGATTATGTGTGTGGGTTGGCAGTAACTTAGAGCTTTATTATTCTTACTCACACACAATTTATTTTACTTAGCTTCCTTTTATTTAACATGTTTATTTAGCTTCTCTTCATAACAGATTAAAGTAAAGGAAGGGAGGGAATATAGTTGGAGATAGACACTTAAGAAGAGATAGAAAACAAAAATCTAAGTGTAATTGAGACCATTTAGTGTAAGACAAATTGCCTTCCAACTTTCTGGAGATCCTGAAGATACAATGTACTAAGCACAGTAGATTTACTTTGGTGACAGAACCACCCAGAGTCTACAATGTGCCAAGTACTCTAAACTTAAATGTCTGGGAAACATTTGTTACCATGAAAGAAATTTGATCAAAAATCTTAATTTGTAAAGGTTGCAACACAGAAAATTTACAAACCACCTGGAAATCTGACTTAGGAAGACTCACATTTATCCACAATGTCATAAACTTGGTACATTAAGTGAAACAAGTTAAACATAAGGGACCATACTCCCTTGGAAGTTTCAGGTGACTATTGGACCTTCTAGTCTCAAATATTTGTATGAAGTCACATGTGATATTATGGTATTTCTAGATAAATAATTACTTTTCATCAACTATAATAGTTTCTCAGTGCCTTTTGAAATAAAGTTGCATTTGATAATAGAATTGCCTCAGGCTTGAAACTAGCAGTGTGGACAAATGTACACAAGGTATGAGACAGAGTGCATGCTTTAGTATAAGCAAGAGGGTACATACGTGTTGCTTGCCTACCTGTGGCAAAGAATATGTTTTCCTCCCAAGACAGAATTCCTATGGACTTTTACCCTGAGAGGTTCAGTTTCATTGTTCTCTTATACAATAGTGATTAATTCCACAATAAATTAACTTACTCTCCCAACTTGCAAAAATTCCTCATAATTTCCCTTAAAATACTGACTCAATTTTTCATAGCATCACAGCCCCCAGGAGGATTCTTTGAAGGGAAATTTCTACTTAAGAACATATGGATGTTGTGAAAGCAGAGTGGTAAAGAAAAAATGCTCAGAACAGAGAGAATTCCTTAGCCAGCTCTCTTCATTAAACCCTGATAACAGTTCAGAAGTTTTCTTCCTGTGAATCCACCAAAAGACAGAGGTATTTCAGCAACATGCAAACTGCAACAAATTTCATCTTTTGGTGCAGCCTTGGTTTCCTAGGATCATTCCTTGCCATCTTGACAGGCTTCTAACTTCTGTTCCTGTTCCCCTTCATTTTGACAACATCAGATGTCAGATTTCTCGCAATAGTTGCCACGTGTCTTTTTCGGTAAGTCAGTTTATGATGACAATTTCCTGACTAATAGAAGCAATGTGTCTTGAAAAAGAGGCACTGATTTTCTTTCTCAGAAAGATGCCTAATGAGCTTGACGCAATTGCAAGGTGCTAGGTCACTTAGAAGATTTGAGGATAAATAAAGTTAATTGGCATGTGAAATAAGTTTTAAATATCCCTGAGTGTTCGGAAGGATGTGTGTCTGGTCTCATCCCATGTCATCACTTACGGAGGTTGAGCTGGGAAGACTCCTGCACTCACAAGTAAGACTCAGTGTATAGCTCACCCCTAGCTCGGGCTTTGTGTGGGCGTCTGGCTTAAGTGTGGCCAGTTGCCACAGAATTCCCCAGGACTTTGATGAATAAGAATCAGTTCCCCACCATTCACTTGGATGCCTTCACAGGTGGTGTTGTCAGTGGTCACACTAATGTAGACTTTGTCCTGGTATCCCAGGTGGGCCACTATGACAGTCTTGACAGACTGGACATTCTCGTAAGACAAGAGGGGATCCTCATTCTCCCGGTAATGGAGGTAGACGTTGATATTCTGGGAAAAGAAACCTTTCAGGGAGATGAGATAAAACCCATCACAGTTGACAATAACTGAGTTGTTTTGCACCTTCATGGTCTTACTATTTGTAGATGTGAAAATGAAGCCTTTGTCGTTTTCACACTCTAGGGAGTTTGAGAAAGAAGGAACAAATAAGTAAGTAAATAAATAAATATACAAATAAATAAAAATTGATTCTGTAGCACAGTGTCAGGGAACAATGTATAGAAACAGATGATGATAAAGCTATTGAGATTTTAAGAATTGAAAGGAAGCCAGCACTGTGTTTCTATAAGGCTTGGAATTTGCTTTAGCTATGACATGGAAGAGGAAGCAGAGCTAATCAGCAGTGTCCAAGACAGTTTCAGATGGAGCTGCAATTCAACCCCTGAGAAATTAGAACAACTGTCAATTGTCACAACAGATCTATGCGAGACATGAATTTTTGAGATTTCCCTCATTTTTCAGAATTAGGAGCTGTTGTGTGTTTCCCTTCTTGATCAACAGACAAACTGGACTAAAGGTGGCAGGAGTGTCCCTTGTTTGGGTTCTACACACCACTTCCACTCAAAAACACTGCATTGACTTCTTCCCTATCTCTCCATCCCACCTAGAAGTGCCAGTTTAGCACTTCCATGAGCTCATGCACAGCATTCACTGCTCTGCTGGCCTCTGCCATCATTCACATAAGCTTAGCAATGTCACCATGCAGAGAATGTCCCTGCTTTGAGTAAGCATCTCAGTAAGATGCATCTCAGTAAATGCAGGTGAAAGAGCTCGGTAACACAACCTGCTTCTCCCTTTCTGTCTGCTTACTGCTAGTTTTTCCTGAAATGCCTTAGGAAGAGTTGCTACCACCAGAGAAGGGAAAGGGGGGGGAAGGATGCAGAGTGATGGTTTCACTAGTTTTGTGTAGGATCATCCTACATGTAAGCCCAAAGCCTAAATTTCATTTCTTTTACTCCCACATTAGCCCAATGTCATCCTGAATAACAAAGTAACCACATTGCAGACTCACCACTCTGTCCTATATCCAGGTGATAAGAAAAATGAGTCCCCACTGCTGGGTACAATTTAGTAAATCTTGCTTTGTACCAGGCCCAGAGGGCATACTTGAATTGAAAATGAGAGCCATTTATGGAAGGCTAGTTATACTTCCCCTCAGGCTCAGGATAACTTAATAGACAAATGAGTATGTTTACAGAATCAGTGGATCTAAATGATGCTTTCCTGGTTGTTAAAGTTACCCCCTAGCCTTCATTTTTGGGGACTTCCCAAATCTCATTAAGGTAGAAAATCCTGTACTATAGGGTCCTCCCTGGTGGCGCAGTGGATTAAAGCACAGTACTAAGAAGCTAAAGCCATTTCAGCACGAGTTCAATCCCCACCCCAGCACAGGAGACATCTCCTGACCCACCCGCTGCTTCCCTCGCAGTATACTTCGTCATCTGCCTATTCTGCTCCCCACCCTGTCTCTGGTGAATCCTCTCACCGCCCCTGCACCTCTGGCCTGTGATCCAGCTCTGTATGCATGGATAAAAAATCTTTTAAAAAAATGTGAATCTATGTTTTTACTATACTTACCAGTAAACTGTACTTGTATACTTTCAACTGGAGGATTCTGAGGTGACATCTGAAAGAAGAATAAAAAGGATGTATCTTTAGAAAAAAGGTGAGCAAATGGAGCTGAATAGTCTTTCCCTATGAGACAGAAAAGCATTGAATCTATATATCACTTTGGGTAAGATGGACATTTTAACTATGTCAGATCTTCCTGTGTCTTTCCATTTTCTTGTGTCTTCCTCTATTTTTTTTTTTTTGGCTTAGTTTCTTAACATTTTTATTGAATAAGCCTTTCCCCTCTTTTGTTAAGTTTACTCCTAAGTCTTTAGTCGTTTTAATGCTACTATAAATGAGCTTGGTTTCTTGGTTTCTTTTTCTTCTAGCTTGCTATTTGCATATAGGAAAAAAGCAGATTTTTGTCTATTGATTGTACAGCCTGCCACTTTACTAATTTGTTGTTTCTAATAGTTTTTAGTGGTGTTTTTAGGGGTTTCTGTGTATATAGAAGTTTCAGCTCTTTTCCAATTTAGATATTTTTATATCTTTCTCTAGCATCAGTGCTCTAGCAAGGGCTTTCAATACTATGTTGAAGAGTAGTAGTGAGACTGATTCCTTGTTCAATGTCTGCTCCTAGAGGGAAAGACACTCAGTTTCTTGTCATTGACTATGATGCTAGCTGTATATATGACCTTTAGCATATTGAGGTACGTTCTATAACATCTCTTAAGAAAAGTTAAGAGTATTCTGTTCTTTCATGTTAATATCTGAGGTCTGTTCTCATATTTGTAAACTCTTCTCTGATAAACTGTTTTGGCTTCCTAAGGCTCAATTTCTTATTTTGGATAACAGAACACTTAATAGTCATCTTTTTAAGAAACCCACTAGCTATAGAGAGCCCCTCATGAAAAACACTGTGATCAAAAAGCCCCGAATGCACAGAAAATTAATTCTGGAAACTCTGTCTGCTGCTCTTTCACTGTAACAGAAGAAAGAAAGGAAGAGAGTCCAATAAAAACTGACCTAATTTTGAGTAGATTTAAGGGTAGCTTTTTAAAATATTGGGTCTTTCCCTTCTCTTTAAAAGCTGGAAAAATCCAACTTGAACCAAGTGAGCATTTAGTAGCATGAATGAAGCAAAACAATGAAGAAAGGAATACTGGTAGATCAAATGTCTGCAGTAACTTGGTGGTTAAAAGAACAATGTGGAACAAAGTACTGTATGTAGTAAAAAAAATCAGAATCGTCTAAGAAGTATGTTACCATTTGTGTCTAAAAATAATATTAACGTTTACATGGGCAAGAATACATACACAAGAAAGTGATTCTAAATATGGTATCTGCAGTAAAGAACTGGAAACCTGCGGTCAGGATTGGGAGGCAGTCTCACTTTTAGTACTCTTTCTTTTTTTAATTTTGCAAATTTTGAACCATCTGTTTAACTTGCCTACAAAATATGTAAATCAAAGCTAACAAGACCTATTGTGCCTGCCAAGAATAACAGCTCTTCCCACAAGGTTATTTTTGGCAAGATGTTCTCATCAAAGGTGCAGGGAAGGATCATTTTTTTCAACCATGGAAAGTGGAACCCCCTCTTTCCAGGCTCCAGGCATACTGGCAAACATAGTCAAGTGCATTCCACTGGAGAACTGCCCACACAGATGAGGAATCCCCTACTTCCCTCATAAGTATAATCACAAACCTTTTCATGCTGAAACCAGGATTAAGGGAAAGCCTTTCTGAGCGCTGCCAAGTGTCTGGGCCTCAAGAGCAAAATTAGTTCAGAGGTGAGCACATGGAGAGAGAATTGACTTCAGTTCATTGAACAGTCTTCCACCTTTCAATTTTTAAATTGCTTGCACAGCTGAATTAGTGCCCTTAGTTGCAATTCAGCGGTTTTCTGGAAGAAAGCATCTCAAAAGACACACTGCCCAACCACCATAACCCCCTGATTAATAAATGCCCCTAGTGCTCTTTGAGTCAGTTGGTCTGAGTTGAATGGCCACGTTATTAAAATCAGAAGCAGGCGGTGGAGCAATTCAAGGAAGACAGGACCTGGCAAGCAGCATTCTGGGCAGCAGGTACAGTGTGTCTTAGGCATATTCCATAGTTTCTGTAGACACTAGTTCTTTCATATTTGAAGAGTATCTCTTTACGATTTAAATTTTAAGAATTGCAACTTTACATCAATTTTAATAATGGGGGGGAAAACCATGAAGTACTTCATCCCCAAATTTTCCATCAAACTCTCTGACCTAAAAACCCTCGTTTGATTTGATAATACTGACTGTGTAAAAATCTTCAAAAGGTGGCCCCCATGGTGGCGCAGAGGGTTAAAGCACAACACTGAGAGGCTGAAGCCACTTCCGCATGAGTTCGATTCCTGCCTGCCCCGGAGGAGACCACATGGCGTGGTAGACCTCTCCTGACCCGCCCGCAGCTCCCCTCAGCAGTGTACTTCGCGATCTGCCTGTTCTGCTCCCCGCTCTGTCTCTGGTGAAGCCTCTCGCCGCCCCTGAACCTCTGGCGTGTACCCAGTCTGTATGTATAAATAAATAAATCTTTAAAAAAAATCTTCAAAAGGTTCCTGCAAATCAAAGATGTTTCCCAATGTTTCCAAGTGCCCTGGTGAAGTAGGAGTGACCAAAGGACATTCTCTGACACCATAATAACTGAGACACGGCAAGGAAATCATCCGTGACTTCCTCTCATGAGATCATCTACTGAAACTCCAGACTCAGGCTTCCTGTTCCCTTCTGAAGTCAGTGGCTGAAATTTCATGTTCTCAGAAATCTCTTACTGCCACCAATACAATCAAGTTATAGGCAATATTGTGAAATGAAATAAGATGACCCTTCCTCTTGTCCTTGCATATATTCCCTTCATTGTGACTAGCCTACTATTCAATTATACCTCCACAATGCCCAATTCAAAAGCCCTCAATAACCTGATTCCAATATCCTTGTCAAGCTTTATTGTCATACATTTCCTTTTTGTGTCTTACCCTCTAGCTAAACAGTGGCTGTAATTGCTTTGCCCTTTTGTAGCATCAGGAAGAATGGTACTGAGGGCATAAGCTTAGTAGTCCAATATCCTTCAGACTATGACTTCTCTGGTTGGGTGAATTTGGAACCATTATACACCATTTCTGAGATTTACCTTTCATAGCTGTAAAACTATGAATTACTATTGTTATTGGAATATTCAAGGATATGACTATGAAGTTTTAATCAGAAAAGATATGTGAAAGCAACTTGTATTTTTCCTGACTCATGGAAAAGTGCTTGCACCCTTTGTCCTGTCTGCCAAGAATGCAGAATTGGCACATCCAAATATTACTGTCATCAAGGCTTAAATCAAATCCCTGATTTGTGGGGTTCTTTGCTCCTGTAATAGCATATAACACATTACATTGCTGATTTTCAGTTTCATTTTTACCTAGCTGATTTCTCCACATCTTGGAAATAGTAAAATCTGTATTTCAGGGGATTGTTGTACAGACTGAACCAGGTAATATGTGTGAATATTTAGCACCTGGCTTGAACACTGCAAAGGGTAGACAAATGTCAGCTATTTCTCTTGAATGACCATAGCAAATCAGATTCATGCCATAGTCTTATTTACTCTGCATAATACTATTTAAGCATTAGATCACTAAAGAATGAAGGAATGAATAAAGGAAACAATAAAAATAACCACAGTCCCTAACATCAGCTCTCTGTCTGTCTATAACCCAAAGAAATACTCTAAGAGGACTGAGCTTTATGAGTTTGCCAAAAAACAATCATTATGAAACGTTTTTCTATGTCAAGAGATAAAATCCTCATATCAGCTCAGATAATAAAAGTAAATGGAAAATATCAAAAGCCTGGAGGACTTTCTGTAAGGAAATTTTAGAACTAGAAGATGCAAGTAAACCAAAGCATCCTCAAAGGTGAACTATAAACTCTTGGAAGTCTACACCCAGGATCAACATATAGCTCTGAAACAGCCTCAGAATCCAGAAATATAAAAGAAAACATCTTCTAGGAGAACCTTTATTTTTTAGGTAAAGAAACCGAGGCCCACAGAAGTAAAAGGATTCAACCCTCCCCTCCAATCCACTACAATTTTTATTCTACCACACAAATAGATATTTTCTCCCCAAGCAAATTTGAGGTAAAGAGAAACTGCTATAAAGATTTCATTAATAGCTTACTCCAAGTTTCGAGAAGAAGCTGCCACACACAGCAGACAGGCAGGGAGATGGTTTCACAAAGACCTTGTCATGAGAACATACAGGAGGAGCCCAGGATTCAGGCTTTGAAGCTTGTAAATAAAATCAAGACAAATGAACCAACATGGGATTTAGAAGGCAGCTTATATATGGCAGCTTATATATATTTAGCCAAATAATCTAATAACACATGTGCATCATATTTAGAATAGCTGAAGTTGTGACAGGAATTTTGCCAGCCCAAACTGTAGTTCTAGTTTCCAAACTCTAATTTGCATTAGTCATACCTAGAAACATTGTAAGAAAAGACAGACAGTTGGCTTATTTGGATCCCTCTGGTGGCCTAGGGGTTAAGTCTCAATGCTATCACTACTATGGCCTGAATACGGTCCCTGGCCAGGGAGCAGACCAGGGTAAGCAGACCTCTCCTGTCTCACCCACTGTGAATTTTAGTAAATCCACCTTTGCTACTCCCCGCTGTCTCTGGTGGATCTTCTCATCCCATCTGGCCTACACCCCCACTTTTTTTTTAATTATATTTTTTATTTTTATATCATTCTTAATTTTGTGTCTTTTTTTATCTGAATTGTAATCCCCATGGGCTTCCTACCACCAGTTCACCCAAGTGCCCATCACCATAGTCCAGTGCACTCTTCCCACCCTAGTTCTGATCCCATTCTGGTTTATAGTTGTTCATTGTTTTCATTTTTACTATATTACATCTATTTCTCTCTCTTCCTTCCCCAACCCCATGCCGATCCTTTATGCTCCTGCTATGAGTGAAGCCACCCAGTATTTTTCTTTTTCTTTCTGGTTTATTTCACTAAGCATGATCCCTTCCAGTTCCATCCATGTTG